GTCCCCCTAGAGCACATTTCTTTCTTTCTCTTTCATTTAAAAAAAAAAAAAGTTAATTAATTTACATTTGATCCCTGAGCATTGTCACAGCATACAAAATGTGATTTTCCATCCAGAATATACTGCGTGGTGGCTTAATCATACATGTTATGGTCAATAACTTTCCATTTTCAGTTTCATATATTTCCCCCCCATTTCTCACCCTCTGCCATTTCCCACCCTCCCACACTATCTCAGTTTTCCAGTTTTTCATTCCTTTTCACCCCCACATTTTGTTGATTCACAAAACTTCTTAAATAATCTAACTACTTTAAATAGCAAGCTCAGCTGATATATACATATCTTTGAATACATGTCTGACTTTAGGCATGCAAATCTGAGTAGAATGAATATACTATAAGGTAGCACCTAGCTGATGCTATATAGCTTACTACAATAATTAATTATGTATTTTTAATATATTTAAAAAATTTTTTTTTTCTTGGAGAGGTTTTTGCTAAAGGGCGTGTGCACTCGCCAGAAAGACAGAGAGAGAGAGACAGAGAGGCAGAAAGCGAGAAATCACCCCCCAGGGGGGATGGCCACGCCGCAATCCCTTCTCCTCCATTTTCCTCTAGGGATCTTGGGCAAGCATGCACATGGGCCCGGCGTGAGTTTAAGCCACCAGGTCAGGGACTCGAACTGCGGTCGGGAGTTCAGCGACACAGCCTTTACGCCAACTGCTGGTCCCTATATTTTTTAATTTCAAGAAAAGCAGAGCCCCTATAGCAAATTTAAAAAAAAGAAAGAAAGAAAAAGGAAAGTCATCTGTAATGTGTCTTTTGTTAAACCTGTAGGCCGAGCACCAAGTTGAATGTGCGTGAGTCACCTGAGGTCTCCCAAAGGCGCAGACTGAGTCAACGGGGAGAGACCTGAGAGTCTGCATTTCTAAGTTCCTAGGTGTTGCCTCACTGCGGAGAAAGGCGATCCAGTCTCAGATATGAGGGTTTGTTCCCAGTTACCAGCTGGACCCTTTGCTCACAGTTGCGCCTTCCCAGGCCCAAGCGAGGGGCGGTCCCTTTGGGGCCCGTCTCGACCGCTGTCCTGGGCAGCGCCACCTGTGACCCAGCCTCTTCTGAACCGCGAGGCTGGGCGCGGGCGCAGGAGCCCGCCCTAGAGAAAGGCCCGCCGGGGGAGGCGATGGGGTGGCTCCGCCCCACCCTGGGAATTGACGTCTGGGAGGCGAGGCCTCCGCGACCCCACCTCCTGCGAGCTCTACCGTTTTCCCTGGCCCGTCTTGGATCCCCAAATCCCTATGGCCTGTATTCACGTGCCCCTCCCTCACACGCTCCGCCTTCCTCCCTCCTCTCTCCCTCTGCTCGGTCCGGATCGTTCCTTCTGCGCTGGGTGTAGCCTCTGTAGTGGGGAGCCCAAGCTTACTCAGGTACCGCCTGCTCTCCCTCCCTCCAGGCAGAAGCTAAGGCTGCTTAGAGCTGGGTGTAGGAGTTCACTAAAGAGTAGGACTGACTCTCGCTGATTCTGGGCAGGGCAGGGGCATAGGGTCCTGCGGAGGAGGGCCGGGGATGGGGGGGTGGGGGGAGGTGGCTCTCCCAGGTCTCCTAGAGAGCTTGTGAGGCTGATCCACTCTCTGGGAGGCAAAGCACTAAACTAACAACTTTAACAGCTGCCTTCCCTCCCAGGAGGTTGAACTTACTCTACAGCTTACAAAGCACCTTGGGACCAGCAGATAGCTTAATGGCTACGTCGCTGGATTCCCATGTAGTTGACCGCAGTTCGCCCAACCCGGTGGCTTAAACTCACGCAGGGCACGTGTGTGTGTGCATGTGTGTGTGTGCCCAGGAGGAGGAGGGAGGAGAAGGGACTGCGGTGTGGCCATCCCTCCTGTGGTGTGTGTGTGTGATTTCTCACTTTCTGTCTGTCTCTCTTTCTGGCAAGCACTTGCGCCCTATAGCAAAAACCTCTCCTCAGACAAAAAACAACAAAGCGCTTTTCTGGCCACTGTCACATTTTATCCACGTGGACTTGGCAGTTGCCCAAACTGAGGACCAAGGAGGGTAAGTCCCAAGCACAGGGTGTAGAGCTGAGAGGGCATTCCAGGACTTGAACCTGGCATTAGCAGCAGCCTCTTGCATCTTGTAGGCCTGAATTATCTGGGAAGTACAACCCTTCCACCCTTGAACGTAGAGCTTTACGTTTCCGTGGGATCCTTAGCTTTGGATAATGGAGCTGGAAGGCTCCATCTCTTACCTCACAGGTGGGGAAACAGAGAGAGTGAACGGCTCCCACTCACGCTCAGGTGGTAGGTAAGGTCTTGGCTCTCAGCCCTCAGACTCTCAGATGACCTTTCTTGAGGCTTCACAGTTCCCCCATCCACTCCCTGCCTGCCTGAGGATCTGGCCTGTGTTTGGGTATAGAGCGAAGCGGGCGCTTAGGGCATGGACACTCCAAAGAGGGAGCCCAGCAGGGAGGGCAGGAGACCCAGTGCCTCTGAAAGTGTACTTTACCATTAGGCTTTATTTCCTAAGACAAAGTTGTGTCACTGAAGCAAGAGGCTTTGGTTTGGCTTTGTTCTTTCATTGTTTTGCTTCTCAGGCAGGAGGCTCAAACCTCCACTGGAAGGACCAGCAGTTAGCGTAATGGCTATGTCGCTGGACTCCCATGTAGTCGACTGCAGTTCGAGTCCCGGACCCGGTGGCTTCGACTCTCGCCGGGCGCATGTGCGTGCATGCCCAAGATCCTGAGAGGGGAATGGAGGAGAAGGGATTGTGGCGTGACCATCCCCCCATGGAGGTGATTTCTCGCTGTCTGTCTCTCTGTCTTTCTGGCGAGTGCGTGTCCATAACAAAAAACCAAACCAAACCAAACCAAACCAAAAAACCTCCATTGTAGAGATTCTGAGACAACCTACTCCAGGCCAGTTTGGGCTCAAGTGGTAGGCTTTGTCATGACTCATGCAGAGCTGGGGCTGGTGTCAGGCTCAGACAGGAGAATGAATTTTCTGTGGTCCCATTAGGGGCCAGCCCAGAACAGTTGGAGATCTGTGTGGGCCTGGGTGGAGACCTTTGTCACCAGGCTCAGGGTCAAGGTCAGAGCTCATCCTAGGATTAGGGAACAGGAAGAAACAGCCCTTGGTTCCTCTCAGGACAGGCCTGGCCCAGATTCTCACTGTAGGAGGGCATGTCAGACGGCTGGCAATGGAGCCCACAGGCCCTAGGCCAGAGCGGAGGCTCTGGGAAGGTGATGTCCCCGAGCTAAGGTTCAGGGTCTCTGGTCCGCCACTGGGTGGGTCTTGAGGGCGGGTGAACCTCCCACCATCTCCATCCACATTTTCCCACCTCACAACTTCCTTCCCAGTTCTCTGGGTACATGGCTGGTCACTTCCTGCTGTTCCTTCTATTGACTCTAAGCACCCAGAGCTCTGGTGCTGAGTCCAGCGGTGCAACACTGCTGGACTCTAGTGGCAGCTGGACTTGGGGGTGTCAGGTCTGCCCTCAGGCTTGTCCAGAGACATGTACGCTGGTAAACTGGCCAGCTGGGAAAAGGAGCTGAAAGTCCTTTACCATGGCGGATTTCAAGCTACCTACCTGGCGGCAGTGAAGGTGGAGCTGGAAAGCGAGCCACGAACCAGCTCCCAAAGCTGGTGGGATGGCTCTTGTGCAGCATCGGACAGCCCGGACAGTGCGTTGCCTTCCACAAGGCCCATCCGGGAAGGGACCGGGTCCTGCTGGCTTTTGGATGACGGTGGCTTCCTGGGTTTCCCACCCTGTTCTGTACCTGTGAAGGTAGGTGTACTTGGCATTGTGACTGTACTGGCTGAGGCTTTGGTTGACAGGAGGGGCCAGTCAAGAAGTGCTTCTGTCCCTCTATGGAGGCTGCCAGGCGCTCAGGGCCACCAGGACTGACTGGGTCCTGGCTCCTCAGGGCTGGATCATGGTTCTGACCCAGGCACCGGGAACCCGACATGACCGAATCAACATGTCTCCTGCCACTATCCCCTCCCCACCCTGTGAGCTGATGTATGGAGGGGACAGGAGCCAGTGTGTGGGATGCCCTAGACTCAGCGCGGCTGCATCCTGCCTGCTCTGGGTCATCCCCTCCTCCCTGACTCATACCCCAGGACGAGTCCCTCTTCTTATCACAGGACAGCCCTTAGTGGCTTCCCACACACTGGAATTCTTTGTCTGCTTGAACCTTATCTTCTCCTGCCTCCCCAGCTTCTGTGCTCCAGCTACCACGGGCCACTTCGCTGTTTTACAAACCTCGCAAGCTTATTCCCGCCTCCAGGACTTTGAGCTTACAGTTGCCCCAGTTCTCCACGTCTGGTTTCTCATCCTCCCAGCCGTGGCTCAAAGTCCTTCCCAGATCTCTCCCTCTAAAGGGGGCTGCCCCCGGTCCTCTCTGCCTCAGCACCTCATCGTTGCCAGCCCTGCACTAACCTCCAAGTACACTTAACTCGTTTACTTAAGTGTTACCTGTGTTACTGTCTTCCCAGCTAGACTGTAAGCTCTGAGAGGATAGGGACCTCATTCCCTGCCGTGCCTGGTATCTGGTGTCAAATAGATGGAAATGGGGTAAACAAACACCTGTCTTTATGTTTATTTCCCCCCGCTATCCCTGGTAGCAGTGTAACCCCATCCATTGATGACATCATATGTGAATGTCCGGGCCTAGTTTCTGCTCTCCACGGGTTATAAAGGGAAGGGGCAACGTGTCCTCTGCACATGGCCAGAGTGCGAAAGATGGATCTGTGCCCAGTGGGGTCCTGGGGTACTGGCAACAGAAGCTGTGGATGCTGTGGTTCAGCTATGTCCCTCGGATTCATGTGTTGGAAACTTAACCCCCAGTGCAACAGTGCTGGGAGATGGGGCCTGATGAGAGGCCACTGGTTCATGAGGGCGGAGCCTTCATGAAAGGATTAATGTTCCTATTGCAGAAGTAAGTGGCTTTGTTTTAAAAGCAAGTTCTCTCTCTCTCTTTGTTTTTTAAATTGTCAGAGGGCGTGTGTGCTCGCCAGGGCTCCTCAGGGCTGGATCATGGTTCTGACCCAGGCACCGGGAACCCGACATGACCGAATCAACATGTCTCCTGCCACTATCCCCTCCCCACCCTGTGAGCTGATGTATGGAGGGGACAGGAGCCAGTGTGTGGGATGCCCTAGACTCAGCGCGGCTGCATCCTGCCTGCTCTGGGTCATCCCCTCCTCCCTGACTCATACCCCAGGACGAGTCCCTCTTCTTATCACAGGACAGCCCTTAGTGGCTTCCCACACACTGGAATTCTTTGTCTGCTTGAACCTTATCTTCTCCTGCCTCCCCAGCTTCTGTGCTCCAGCTACCACGGGCCACTTCGCTGTTTTACAAACCTCGCAAGCTTATTCCCGCCTCCAGGACTTTGAGCTTACAGTTGCCCCAGTTCTCCACGTCTGGTTTCTCATCCTCCCAGCCGTGGCTCAAAGTCCTTCCCAGATCTCTCCCTCTAAAGGGGGCTGCCCCCGGTCCTCTCTGCCTCAGCACCTCATCGTTGCCAGCCCTGCACTAACCTCCAAGTACACTTAACTCGTTTACTTAAGTGTTACCTGTGTTACTGTCTTCCCAGCTAGACTGTAAGCTCTGAGAGGATAGGGACCTCATTCCCTGCCGTGCCTGGTATCTGGTGTCAAATAGATGGAAATGGGGTAAACAAACACCTGTCTTTATGTTTATTTCCCCCCGCTATCCCTGGTAGCAGTGTAACCCCATCCATTGATGACATCATATGTGAATGTCCGGGCCTAGTTTCTGCTCTCCACGGGTTATAAAGGGAAGGGGCAACGTGTCCTCTGCACATGGCCAGAGTGCGAAAGATGGATCTGTGCCCAGTGGGGTCCTGGGGTACTGGCAACAGAAGCTGTGGATGCTGTGGTTCAGCTATGTCCCTCGGATTCATGTGTTGGAAACTTAACCCCCAGTGCAACAGTGCTGGGAGATGGGGCCTGATGAGAGGCCACTGGTTCATGAGGGCGGAGCCTTCATGAAAGGATTAATGTTCCTATTGCAGAAGTAAGTGGCTTTGTTTTAAAAGCAAGTTCTCTCTCTCTCTTTGTTTTTTAAATTGTCAGAGGGCGTGTGTGCTCGCCAGAGAGAGAGAGAGAGAGAGGAAGAGAGAGGGGAAGAGAAAAACAAAAGAGAGGGAGAACCTCTAGAGGGGCATGGTCATACCACACCCCCTCCTCCATTTCTCTGTCCCATCAGGATGATTTTGGGCCCACACTTCTGGCATTTGTAAAAATATTATTTTATTTTTTAACTTTTATTTATTTATTTTAATTTGGTCAGAGAGGAACAGAACGCATGAGAGAGAGAGAGAGAAAGTTGCCAGGTCTGAGACTTGAACCACGGTCGGTCATGTGAGAGTCCAGCACCCTTAACCTCCACGCCACTTGCCAGCTCCTCTTGGCAAGTTTTGTAAGCAACCAGAGGTGGGATTTGAATGATAGTTGGCCGGGTGGGATCCGGCTTACCCAGTGTGCTGCAGACCCTATTGGCACTCTTTGTCTTCTGTCCTCTTGCCACATAATGCACTTCCTCCCTCACACACATGCCCTGTTCTGATACAATACAAAACCCCTCGCCAGATGCCTGCCTGTCAGCCTGGGCTTCTCAGCCCCCAAAAGTGTGAGCTCAATAACCCCCTATTCTCCATAACAAATTGCTCTAACTGTGGTACTCAGTTATGGCAACATAAAGACTAAGGCTCTGGAAGGGGCTTTGAGTCTTGCCAGAGTTGAGAAATCCAGCCACCTCCAACTTTGATTTGTTTGTTTGCTGATTTAATTTTTTTTTCTCTTGCTAAAGGGCATGTGTGCTTGCCAGAAGGAGGCAGAGAGACAGGGAGAGGAGAAAGCACCTCCCAGAGGAAATGCTCAAGCTGCCGTCCCTCCTCCACCTCCATTCCCCTCCTTTCAGGAGTTTGGGCATGCGTGTCCACACAGCTGGCATGTGTTTCAAATGCCGGGGCTGATATTTGAACTGTACGGTTGGTGGTGAGCTGCTGTCATCTTCAGTGTCACTGCCACCATTGCCATGATTCCCCCCCAGCGGTGGGGTGGTGTCCAGAGTGTAGTGAGGTCACTTCCTCGCTTGGGTGCTCCTGGAGGTAATTGTTTAATGAGAAGGTTGCACCGCGAGGTGGTTTGTCATCCTGCATGACTAGGAAACCTTCCCCAATTCTGATGAGGCTGGGGCTGTCAAGGGCTCTGTGACTCTGTGGCTGTGAGGGCCCTGGGAGGCCATTTGGTCTATCCCTCTGCCTTCTCGAATGTTTTGCATCCGGTGGAGAAAAGCAGTAGAGTGTAATAGTTCAGAGCTGGTAGAGGGGTCAGGTGGTGGTACAGTGGCAATGCAACTAGACCCATATGGAACCTCCGGGGTTTGCATCCCAGCACCTTCCTGGGTATGCAGGCAGGTGAATGCCACGGTCCAGACCTGCTGAGGCTGGAGTGGACGGACTGCAGCATGAGAACCCTGATGGAGGTACCTGTTTCTGTGTCTTTTTCTGTCATGAAAGAAAAGAAAGAAACTTAAAAAAAAAAAGGAGTGCTGGGCCAGCCGGGTGGCATGGTGATAAAGGCAGCTGGATCCCACGGCCAACGGTGTGGTTGGAGTTCTGGACCCAATGGCTTAAAAAACACCAGGTGCATGTGCCTCGGAATCCCAAGAAGAAAATGGAAGTGAAGAGATTGCTAAGTGGTCCCTTCCCAGTGCATGATTTCTCATTTTCCCTCTCGCTTTCTGTCCCTTTCTCCCTCTCTGGCAAGCTCACATGGCCTATATTAAAAACTTAAAGAAAATCAAAAAGACTGCTGATAGAGTCAGTTTAGGTCAACCTGGTGATGCTTTCTGGGTCTCAGTTTCTTTCTTTCTTTCTTTTTTTTTTTTTTTGAGAGGTTTCTTGCTACAGGGCGCGTGCGCTTGCCAAACAGACAGAGAGAGACATAGAGACAGAAAGCGAGAAATCACCCCCCAGAGGGGCTGGTCACGCCGCAGTCCCTTCTCCATTCTCCTCTCGGGATCTTGGGCACGCACGCACATGTGCCCGGCGTGAGTTTGAAGCCATTGGGTCCAGGACGCGAACTGCGGTCGACTATGTGGGAGTCCAGCGACACAGCCATTATGCTAACTGCTGGTTCCCAGGGCCTCAGTTTCTTTACAGTGAGGTGTCTACTAGAAGAGTGACCTTATAGGGTAATGTGGTAAGAATGTGGGACAGCACTCAGCCCCGGGGGCTCTCAAATAGGAGCTGTTAATGTCCTTTCTTTTATCAAATGCTCACACAGGGCTCACTGTGCTGGCCACTGTACGAAATTCAACTCATCAATAAAGAGTCCTGTGAGACAGGCACTGCTGTCGCTCCCATGTTATAGACCAGGGAACAGGCAGAGGAGTCCAGCCCCTTACCAGGGTTACACACCTGGTTAGTGAAGAAGCTGGGCCCTGGCGCAGGGAGCCTGGCTCCTGAGTCTGAGCCTGGCCTTGGTGCTCTTCAGCAGCAGGTACTTCTGTATTCTAAAACCAGCTCCCCTGCCCCTTCCAGGTTGGAGAAGGTGCTGCTGTTTCTGTGCAGTGTTCATAAAGGGCCCTTCAGAAATCCCTGCGGCTGCGGGAACCAGCAGTTAGCGTAATGGCTATGTTGCTGGACTCCCACGTAGTCGACTGTGGTTCGCGTCCTGGACCCGGTGGCTTAAAACTCACGCCAGGCGCGTGTGCATGCGTGCCCAAGATCCTGAGAGGAGAATGGAGGAGAA